ATTGTGACTTTTACCTTCTTGGGTATCGGATATTGTTTTACATTCCTATACATTTTCTTTAGTTTTTTTCCTGGGAGGAAGTACAGTTACTTGAAAACAGTTTGGCCTTTTCAGGTCTTGCTTTTATGTTCCGTAGGCATTTTCTGGAGCAGTGCTCAGTCTAGGGCTAATTATTCCCGGCCATGAAGGGAAGACTTGCCTGAGTACTCTAACCACTGCTCCAGGAATTACGAGACTTTCCAATCTAGCTGGTGGGAACAGGCATTGTTTCTGGCACTCACTGTTTCTTCTGATCCTTTCAGATGGCCCATTCCTTGGCCTCCCAGCATGCACTGATCATTGAGCTGCTGAACATTCAACAGGCTCTCCCTCTCTTGCAGCTATGTGCTGTCTGGTACTGTCTCCTAAGAACTGTGGTTGACTTGGTCTTTCTAGACAGTCACCTTCCTCTTTTCAACTCAGGAAGTTTGCCACGCTTCATCTTAGTTTCTTCTCCCTGCACTGCAGCCTCAGAACTCTACCAAAGCAGTAAACTGGGACAATCATAAGACTCGCCTTGTTTATTTCCAATGTCCTTGATGCTTGGTGTCCAGTGCCTTGAAAACTGTTGTTTCATATATCATGTCTGTTTTTTGGCTTGCTTATTTGTTCCAAATGGGAAGATAAATCCAGACCCTCTCTTACTCCATCTTGACCAGAAAAGCAAACGTTCGTAGCTACCCTGCTATTACTTATTCAAAATATCCGTTGGGTACCCATGAGCCAAGCACTGTGCTAGATGCTGAATATACACTGGTGAACCAGAAAGGTGTGGTTCCTGGCCTCCTGGCAAAGTTGTCTTATAAGGATTGACTTCTGTGAGAAGGCAATACATGGCCTAGTGCTTGGATGTATGCACACACACATGAATGAGAGGTGGTCCTTCCTCTCTAGGAATTCAGAATTAGGGAAGACTAAGGCACATTTTTTAATACAAAGCAGACTGTGAAAAGTGTTATGCATGAGATATAAAGAAACTCTGGGCATATACTCATATCCTGACGTAATGCATTTGATTAGAGCTGGATGGGAAAGCTTCACAGAGAAAGCACATTTGAGCTGGGCCTTGAGAGTGAGTGTAATTTTGCTTGGTGGAGAAGTAGAAGTGTAACAGGGTATATAAGATGAGAAGCCCCAAAGCAGCACAGAGATTAAAAGTTATTTTGCATATCATTAACAGCTGGCTCGCTTCATAGCTGCCCAGCTGGGCCGGGGAGATGGGCATGCCTTGGGCCGGTGATGCTGCTGGGAAGGTAGGTTACCCCAGTCACAATGCCTGTGCGAGAGCTTGGGGATGGTTCGCTCCACACACGGGGCCACACCTGCCCGGACTAACTACGGCAGCCAAGAAAGGCAGAAAATATGGGCGTGCTAGCAGGTGTAGGCGATTGTGGGTGGAGTCAGAAGTGGGGTTACGGAGGAGGATCCGGGCTGGGATTGAAACAAGACGGTGGGCCACTACGTAGGATGGAGACAATACGGGACTCATGTTAATAAGGGGTGAAAGGACTCTGGCCCCCGGCCATGAGGAGGTGCCACGTGGTTTTGGATTAAGAACTAGAGCTCGTGGCCACACGGCGGATGGTGCTGGGAGACCTGCCCGGCCAAGCGCGGATTCCTGGGAGGAACCGGGAGACGGGAGAAGTGAGCAGCCGACTTCTGCTTTTTACTTCTGGAAGGCGTTACTTCTGACTGGCGCGCTCTGAGACTGGCCCGACCGATTGGGCAGAGGGGGAGGGCAGGGCTGTGTGTTTATGGGTGTCTCTTTGTTTCTAAAGGGCATGAGATTTAACAGCAGACTTCTGCCATTATTCTAAACCTGAATAACTTTTAATTAAATAATTCCTTTTTAAGAAACTCGCATTGAGAGCCACACTTCCTAATAGGGAAGCGGGCATAAAGAACCAAGAGTAACAAAATGCTCCCCCCCGGGGGGGCTTGTTTCTGTAACAGAAGGAGGAAGAACAAAGTGCTTTTAAATATCAAAATAGTTCCACATGATTCCTTCTGGCAGACACAGCCATCCGGTTCACTCTTCTTGCATAGAACCCAAATCGTGTGCTTCAGAGGAAACTATCTTCCAGCCCCGGAGAGTCAGAAAACCTGGTCCCTGATGATGTCCTCAAGCCAATCGAATTAACCAGTCTGAAACCGATCTGACTCAAGCCTTCTTGTTCGGTGAGATGATTAAGTTTTCTTAGGGTTTTAGTGACTTTGGTTGGATTTTGTTGTAGCCACATGTAGCAGATGAGCATACCCTAACGGACCAACTCAGCTATTAGAAATCTGCTTTTCCTTTCCACTGGGTCAACCCGCTGCTAAATGTCACCTCCCTTGCTTCTGGTTCCTTTGCCTCATCAAGAAGAAAGATTAGCTCAGAGATGATATTGTACTTAGCTATATACACACACAGGGAGAAATAAAAAGCAATTCTAAAAGCGAAAGGAAGCAACTGCACAGTAAATACCTTGACTCGTACTACTAGTAGTACTTTGACTAGTAGTACTAGTCACTATTCCTGATTCTTTGGTTGAGAGGACTAGTTTAACCCTCCTAGGATGACACTGCAAAGAAAGAAAATACAAAGGCAAGCCCAAGAGGAAATGTATAAACTGTTTCACAGTCACAGCCCTGCTGGAATTCCCTGGGAATTCCCATGGGAGCCAAGGCTACCTATGGAACAATCTAACTGTTGGAAACCACTTGCGTCTGGCAGAAAGCCAACTAGAGCAGGAGCAAAGGAGGTGCCGTCCCGTTCCTGAAAGTCTGGATCAATCCCAGAGGCCCTGAGTGCCTGTGGCAACGTTGTGAATAAGCAAAGACTGTCTCCAATCACCACCCACTGTCCCATTCCCCTCCTGAGCCTCATCTTTTTCTGGCTCTGGTCTCTCTGTGCCTCCTCCTGCTTCTCTTTTCCCTTCCCGCCCAACCACGCCCACTCAACAATTCACATTCTGCTTGCCTGATGTGCCCAGAAGATACTAAGCCACCTACCTCAAGGCACTTGCATTTTAATAGGGGGCTCTTACACACCCAAAGTAATGCTTTATTGCTAGAAATTCAAGTCTCTAGACTGGCAGAGTGGGACATGTCTGTCCATAAGCACAGCACTTACTGTCCCAAGAAAAGTCAGCTCAAAACAGGAATACATTCCCAAGACTCACTGGGGTACAGGGTCACAAGTACAGTTCCTCAAACTCCACTCCTATCTGCCAGCTCACACAGGACCTTATTGCCCTTTCGTATACCCATACACCTGCTGTCTGGCTCATCCTACTCACCTTAATTCTCAGTTTAGATATCCCCTCTTCCAGGAGGCCTTCCCCAATCAGTCCCCAAGTCTGGGCCCTGTCTCTCTGTTGTACCCCTATATATTGAAAGCCTTCCTCTCGGAGCACTTGTTATGCTGATTTACAATCTGTGGCTACTAAGTAAACCAATACCCAGCATAGCCCTGACAGGTAGCAGGTGCTCAGTTTATTGAATGAATGAATGTTCACATACGCTATAGGTCTGCAGAGACCAAGGTTGTGTAGTAGCCCATTGAGGACTGAGCTCCCAGTCTAGCACTTAGGCTGTGGTGGGCACACAACGATCATTTGCTAATTGATTAAAAGAAGCTGTCATACAAAAGGTAGTTGCATCTATACTGCTGGTGGCAATGTCCAGATGTCCTTAATATGAGGGCAAGAGGCACAAACCAGGGGCTTTCTCTAGACTGCCAGGGAAGGCGGTGAGGAGGTGGCGGTGGGGAGAAAAAGGAGTGCAGGATAGCTCTGGGAGGACAGCTGTCCAGGGGCTGTGGGATGCGCTCTTTGACCACAGCTTTAGTTTTCTAGGGCTTCTTAAACCTGGGGCTCATGAGTGGCACTTCAGAAGATCCAAGAATCTTCTGACACTTTAATCAAACATCCATGCCAGTAACTGTATGTGCATTTTTCTGGAAGAAGGCCCACAGCTTTCAATGAGTCACGAAAGTCAAGAATTGTTGCTCTAGACCTGCACTGTCCAATATGATAGTCACTAGCCACCAGTGGCTATGTAAGTTTAAATTGAAATTATATTTTCAAATGCCTTGGTCACTCTACATATTGAGCTTGCTCAGAGGCCACTACCTACTGGACAACCCCGATATAGACCATTTCCATCACTGCAGAAAGTTCCACAGAACTTCTTCCTATTGGTGGCTGTACTCCAGATTCAATGACAAGATTTGTTTGGGTCGTGTGGTGCTTTTGTAGCATGAATTGCCGTCATTATAAATGAAAGCATAAGCATCTGAAATCCTGATTTCCTTGGGAAACAGGACTATCTACCAGCTCTGGGTCTGCATTCCTCCTAGCAGCCGGAGGGCACAGGGCTGCTCCGTTTAGATGGGCCTTCGGTCATACCGGTACTACCTGCTTGTCCCTCCTGAACATTTGAGTTTGCAACCCTCATTCCTAGAGAAACTTGCCTACTGTGATCTCTTTCCAGTCTCTTGCGTCTGTAACCAGATTCCCGGTGTGGGTTAAATAGGGCTGAACTTGGTTTAAGAGCTCATCTTGTGGTCAAGGGGTCTTGGGCTGCGATTAGGGCTCCTAGCTGGAAGTTGAGGTGGAGAGGCGCAGTGCCTCCCTCCTTTCAGCTCTCCGGAACTAGAAAGAGAGAGGGAATTTTATCCCGAACATCTGTTGCTCGACAAAGAACTTCTTCCCTGTCTTCCCATGAACCCTCCAGTCCCTAGCGCAGCATGCCTGGGCCCGCCCCTCGCGATGAGATCGCGGGGAGGGGCTGAAAGGAAACCCGAACCCCGCGCCCACCACTCCCGCCGGCGACGTGGCTCAGAGGCCCGGGCCTCCCCCTCGCAGGCCAGCGGCCAATGGGCGCGTGAGCGCGGCAGCCCGAAGCTTCCCTGTCCGCAGCCCGGGGCGCGCCCCTCGCTCTGGCACGGGGCGGGCGCTCGCTGAGGGGCTGGCCCGTCCCCCTTCCCTGCCGCCGCGGCCCCAGCCCCCATTCCCCTAGTCGCTGCTCTCACTGCTCCGCTCCGTGCCTCCCAGCGGGCTGCTCTCTCCTCCCGACGATGGCGCGCGGTGGCCGCAGCCGCCTCCTGGGACTCGCCCTGGGGCTGCTGCTGGCTTTCGCGCTGGCTCCCCGGGCGCTGCGGGCCAAGCCCACCGTGCGCAAGGAGCGCGTGGTGCGGCCAGACTCGGAGCTGGGCGAGCGGCCGCCCGAGGACAACCAGAGCTTCCAGTACGACCACGAGGCCTTCCTGGGCAAGGAGGACTCTAAGACCTTCGACCAGCTCACCTCGGAGGAGAGCAAAGAGAGGCTGGGGTGAGGCCGCAGCCCGGGCTGCGTTCGGGGGCGTTGCAGGTGCCCGCGGGGCCATCCGGGCGGGAGCCACGCGGAACGCAAACCGCGAATCGAAAGCGAAATCGGCGCACGGATCCGAGGGCGGGGTCCAGTTGGGAGCGGCTGCGGGGCAGGCGAAATTTGCACGCCTGCCGGACCCTTCCGTGGACAGCGCCCCGGGGCCACGGTGGCTTCCCGCAGGGAGGCGAGAACGTGGCAGCGGCAGCCACAGGAGCCAGGACGTCGAGAGCCCGCCCCCTCCCCGTGGTTGCATCAGAAGGGAGGGTTAAGAATGTACAAAAGAAGAGTTTGTCGAGGGTGGCCTTTTAGTGACAGTTCTTCCCCACCCTCCCAGTTTCTCTCTTCTCCCCTCATTTCCAAACAGAAGCACTTGAGACACTTCCAAGGTCTCAAGGATGAACATAAATGGATAAAAGATGAAGGGGTCAGACGAAGGAGAGGCTTGATTCCTGGCCTGTGTCCCTGGACTGGGGCAGGGGTGTTCTTCTGACTAATCTTTATGTAAATCTGATGTAGGGATATAAAAATCCTGTCGTTAAGAAGGGAAGGGCATTTGGGAATAGGGGATGGGGGGTGGGAGTGGAAACTGGTCCCATAGTTTGTGTTTCCAGCAGCTGTCTGCAGAGGAACCCAGTCCTTGGGCAGCTGAGGGCAAAAAGCTGGCGGGCGGTGTGGTGGACTGTAAATTTCACTGTTGAAAGCAGTTGAGTCAGGAGCAGACTTGGGAAACAAAACTTTGGGACGTATCCGTGCGCCCTGCGCACATTCCCTAGGGAGACACTGGGGCATTGTGCAAAGGTACCTGGAATCCGCAGGCGGTGTTGAGAGAGGATGGGCTGGGGAGGGTCCCAGTAGCCCTGCCTACTGGGCATTAGGCCTCCTGGAATCTGGTTCCTGGGGGTGGAGATCTTCATGTCCTGCTACATGAAAAAGAACACTGCCATCCCTGTGCTGATGGGGGCCACCGAGGCCAATGGGATTGGTTAGGATGTGAGGCTACATTGTACCTATTGTGTAGGTGCACCATCTGCCTGGTCTGATAAAAAGATCTTTGAATTTCAAAGTCACCTTCAAACAATCACCTTTTATTTTGCAGAGAAGTACTTTCTCTTCTTGTTTGAGACTTAACAATGGGGGCCATTGATGAGTTTAGTCTATTGTATTGCTTTGAGGCACTTGAAAACTGATTTATTCTGGGGGTTGGGGTCTGGAGTAGAGAACTCTGTAGTGTGCAGTCCTACAGTCTTCCAGTTTAATGCCTTCATTGAGACGGGTAAGCCTGTTGGTGAGAGCAAGGGCTGATGGAGTTGGTCTGCATTTCATCTTTGTGTGAACACCTTAGCTTCATTTGTTTATTTCTGCAACAAACATTTGAATGGCCACTATATGCCAGCTACCATTGTTAGATGCCTGGCAGATGCAGAGAGAAAACCTTTGTATGCTCTAGGCCTCAAACTACTTAAAATGAAATAAGGCACAAGCAGATACTAGTATAATCACTGCAATGGCATGTAAAAACTGTAGTGAGCCAACGTAGAAGAAGGAGCCCCTACGGGTTCAGGTTGGAGAAAGAGGCTTGGTGGTTTAGAAATGAATCTGAGCTTGTGGGAATACTCAGAGGTTGCCAGACACACCGGCAAGGAAAGGGCTTCTTGACGAGAGAACAGCCCGCTTCCAAAGGTTTTGAAACCCATTCTGGAGGATGAGCGGTATTGGGATGTTAAAGGGATAGGGCCGAAGAAGTGAGCGGTGAGAGCGGAGGGGAAACCAAGAGCAGAGCAGGAAGGGCCTCTGAGGGGTGGAGATTAGATGTTACTCTGTATGTTGTCGAAATGTCATCACCCTAAATTCTCGTTAGGAAAGGCAGACTAGCAATGGGGAGGAGACCGTACCTGAGGCACAGCGGGGAGTCCGGTGAAGGACCGTGGCCGTGAGCACCTGAACCAGGCTTGCAGGCCCAGAGGGCAGGAGAGGGTGAACCCAGAAGCATGTGGGAGGGAGAACTGGCAGTGCTCACTCTTGGCTCAGCGTGGGGGTGGAGAGAGGGACAGCGAAGACTCACAAAGGACATCTGGGTCTCTGGCTAGAGCCACCGTGTGCATAGTGGATGTACTGCTCACTTGCAAGGTAAATCCCGGCCAGAGGCAGGGGTGGGTGGAGGAGCGCAAGAAGCCACCTCCCTGTCCAAACTCATAAATCCAGGTCTGGGCTCACGAGGAACCTGGGCAGGCTTGTCACTACCACCTGACCTGGTCCTGGAAAACGTGACAGCTCTAGGTCCCTGGAGACACACACCCGGGCCAGAGGGCTGCAAAGTGGGCACCTATGGGCTGTGTGCAGTGACAAAACTTAGAAAAAGTAAAAGTTAATTGCCAGCATTTAAAATCTGAGTGATTTCACATCTAGACCTCGATTTCTGGCACACGGACCATTATTCCCACATGGCAGTCATTGTCTGGAGCAGCGTGGGGCATCTTGTTGGCAGCTGGTAGGGGATCTCCAGATTGCTGCAGGCTTGGCATGGGCGCTGTGTTCGTTCCTTTTACCTGCCAGGTGTTTGTTGCGTTTTCCATCCACCTGTTTATCGTCTTTAGTTTTTGTGAGGAAAGACATGCATCTCCTTTATTCCTCGCGACATTCCTGGTAAAATAAGTGTTCCAGTTTGCAGCTGGAGAAACCGAGACTCAGAGACATTTGCCCAGTGTCACCCAGGACTAGGCTCACGGTGTTTGGACTGGAGGGATGGGTTTTCCTACATCATAGCTGCTTTCCCCAGTATCTCACTCCTGAGATTTTGTAAGACAGAGGTTTAGATCATATTTATTGTTCCAACAGATATTCATTAACTCCTATTATGTGTCAGGCTGACTATGCCCCAGACATTCATTTGGCATAGATTAGATGCTCTCTTTTCCACAAAAAAAAAAAAAAAAAAAAAAGGTTCTTCACAATCTGACATTAGGTCTCTGCTGCTCTGAGATTCCATTCCTCAGCGGCTTTGGATAACTGATGGGCATGTCATCTCTATGTCCCTGGTGTTGGAGCAGTGCCTGGCACATGGCAGGTAGGCTGAACACTGCAGTGTTTTAAGAACTCTGCTGTGTCTGTTCATGGTCCCCTGGAAGGAAGCCTGAGGATACCCGAGGCTTAGTCTTTCCATCTGGAGACCCAGAACAATTGCAAATGAGAGGATACATTAGCTCTGTCAGTAATGTTTACACCTTCCTGAGAAGGAAGAGCTCGGGCTACCCAGGTATCCGGGTAAGAGATGGAGACGTAAGTCCTAGTGAAGTCACTTCCTATATCTAATTAATCAAAGAGAAACGGCCAATCAGCTTCTGTCCATAGTAAGAAAATGTTAGCACTGTGTCAATAGGATTCCAGTCCAAAGCAAAGAAACAAATCCCTAATCAGCTTACATGGCCTCTTCCCAAGTCCATGGACTACCAAGGTTAAACTTTTTTAAACATTGGAAATAGCTTTGTATCTTTGAGGTTTTCTACAGGGACGGAGTCCCGAGTTTGGAGCCTTTGGCCCACACATGGACTCTGGTGAATTACCAGCCTGACCTGTGCTCTGGACTGGGGTTTGGGGCACCTCGGTGAAATCCAGTGGGAAATGGCCAGAACCTGGGCCAGCTGCGGAGCAGGAGATGCAAGAGACATAAGGGTCTTGACCCTACAAGCAGGGGGCTCAGGCTCCTGCAGCTGCTCAGCTGGTCAAGTTTCTTGAATAAGTTTCATTGATGTCAGAGCTCTTTCATCCTCAATATTTTATGCTTTGTCCAACGAGATCTGGTGTCCTCCTGCTTTAAGTTTCAAGTCTTTGGGTCCAAAGTAGGGAATGTTTTGTTTTAAACAAAGAACTCATTTATCTTTTGGTTTCCATGGAATTTTCTAATTTTTAGATTGGACTTTGAGCCAGTTCTTATCCCAATTGTGTGATCTTCGAAAAGTAATTCAGTTTCTCTCAGCCTAATGGAAATAGAGTTTCCATTACTCTAGGTACTGTGTCAGGGAAGACTGCTAAGTTTCACCTTACAAATCAGCACTATCAATTGGTTGTGTCCATCTGCTGGGCACTGTGTTGAGAAGGATTCTGAGGACATATCTAGATTTCTCAGGATGAAGGGGCACGATCTACTAGTAGTGTCTGCCATTGGCACTGGGTAGGGGGAAAGGCACCTCGCACTCGGAAAACATAAACTTCAAGATCCTTTCCAGCACCATCGGATCACTGATTTTATGTTGATGCATTTTAGATTCTGTAGGCATTTGATCTTTTTCTGGATCAAGATCACACAAACCTTGATAATAGCTTTGTGGGGTTTTTTGTGTTGTTGTTTTTTTAAACAGGAAGATTGTTGATCGAATTGACAGTGATGGGGACGGCTTTGTCACCACTGAAGAGCTGAAAACCTGGATCAAACGGGTGCAGAAAAGATACATCTATGATAATGTCGCTAAAGTCTGGAAGGATTACGATCGGGACAGAGACGATAAAATTTCCTGGGAAGAATACAAACAAGCTACCTATGGTTACTACCTAGGTAAGAGGTGCTGCAGGAGAGATGACACAGCTGGGCCCACAAAGCAAGCTTCTTGCAGGAGACTCTGCTCCCTCATCACAGCCACCCACTTCAGGGGGATGTCACAACCTCCTAAGTAGAACCTGCTTGTGTAACATCCTGCTCTGCTTACTAGGAATTTACTGGGTTGCATACTCTGAGTGAAGTCCTAGGTGGTGAGTAGTGGCAGGGGTTGAGGGTCTAATGAAAAATGACGTAGGTTGCTGGCCTCCTAGAGCTACAATCTCAGGGCCACACACAGAACAAAGCAGAGAAGAAGCTTGTCTATGGCACAGTTTCACAATGCTGCCGAGTTTCAGACAGCAAAGGCCAAGTGGGCTGGAGCAGTTGGGCAGGGCTTCTGGTAGAGGGTGGCTTGGGAGCTGGGCCTTGAAGAATGTATTTATAGTTGGAGAGAGAGAAAGGAGTGGGGGCAGTGGGTCCGCTGGAAGGGCAAAGGTGCAGCGATGCATATAGCGATGGGTAGGGTTTGGATGTAAGACAGACCTGTTTGGGGAATGAAGGAAGGGTGTGTGCAAAGCACAGGGTGCAGACCTGCTGGGTGCATGGTCGAGACAGAGAGGGTCAGGTCTGAGAAGGACCAGCGATGCACAGATTCACAGACAGATTAAGGGAGATCTTGAAAGCCAGGTAGAAACATTTAGACAACATGTGGGTGCTAGGGAGCCTCTGCATGTTCTGGAGCAAAGAATGATTCGATGAGAGCAGGATTCAGCAAAGGGCAATATGGCATTAATATGGTCTAAAGCCGGTGCTCTTAACCACTGTTGTAATGTCCATAATACACCAGTAGGGCCTGTATAATGGGGCGGTATGAAGGGGCAGTTACTATAGGCATTCTGAAATAAACTTTCAAGGAACTCGATAGGTCAGGCCCTTTAGTCCTACGTGTACTGTTTGGGCATGAAAGATGGGTGATCTGGGAGGAAATGCCTTCCTCGGCAGCCTGGCTGAAATGTCTGTGCACAACATCCTGCAGGAAACCCCACAGAGTTCCATGATTCTTCAGATCATCACACCTTTAAAAAGATGCTGCCACGTGACGAGAGAAGGTTCAAAGCTGCAGACCTCGATGGGGACCTGACAGCCACTCGGGAGGAATTCACTGCCTTTCTCCACCCAGAGGAGTTTGAGCACATGAAAGAAATTGTGGTTTTGGTAAGATAAAAGAAGTTCCCAGGCTGGGAGGAGACCAGGATGAAGAGCACACCAAAAGCTGGTCTCTTCTTCCAAAGAGAGAACATTCTTCATCCTGAGGGGAATTGGAGAAGAACTGTGAAGTGAAATACATTGGAATATCTGTCTACCCAGTAAATGAGTCAGGGCAGGCTAGGTGCTGTAACAAATAGCCCCCAATCCTAGCCATGTATCACAATCAGAGTATTTCTTACTTATACCACATCCAGTGCAGATGGTCCCAGGCAGGTGGGTCACCTGGGCAGTTCTTCTCTAAAAGCTATCAGGCAGCCAAGCTGCTTGCATCTTGTATTCCACTGTCCTGTGGCCTCAAGGCCCTCCTGGTAGCAGCCAGCTGGTAGACGAGAGGAAAAGAGGAGAAGGCAGTCCGCCTTTACTGCTCCTACCAGGAAATGACCCATCCCTTCCTTTTCCATTCCCCTGGCTCCCCCTAGATGTGATGAGGCTGGGAAGTATATAGGTAGGTGCTCGGAAAAAGCAAATGGGCTTGTGAATAAACTAGCTAGTCTCTGTCCATTCTTCAGCTTTGAGGGAAGTAGAAAAAGACTCTGAAATGGAATGCATTGGATTGTTCAGCCAAAGGGAAACTTAAAGTAAGAACCACGGCTGGAAAGGAGACTCCCCTTAGCTGGGTCGGGGGTGCCTTCGGAGGGTGACTAGATCACATCCTACAGGCTTTGAGAGTCAGCTGTGCTTGTAAGGCCTCTGAGTGCAGTTGCTTTCCATCGCATCTTGTGGGGTCCCAAATGTCTTAATTTTCCATGACAATAAAATATTGCCTTTACCTGTTTCCTGGTCACATAACCCGAGCCAGTTCCAGTTGCCTCCGTGCTGGGAAACAAGTGGCTAAAGCTTTTGTTCATAGCCAGCTCTGGCCTATTTTAGTTGTCCAGTTAGTAGCTGGGCCCACTCTTGCTTCATGCTCCATGCTCATGACCACCAAGACCCTAAGGGCTGGGCAATGGCTCTAAGAATCATTTCTTTTTACTGCCCAACATCCACTTAGTGATAACTGATTTGCCAGAGGACGATGAAGATCAAGAGTTAGCCACAGTGGATTATATGCCTTTGAGTTGTCAAGACAATGGACAGTAAACTCATTTACATGCTCACCCTGGTAAAATACCTATTAGGAAGTCAAATATACTAAATACAGAACAGAATACGTTCAAAAGTCAGATAGACTTTTAATTTTTCATTGCCCACAGTTTCATTTTTTCCTGATGCCAATTGGGTGTTCATAGTCCAGTTAGCCCTGGAATCTATGTCTGTGACCATCCGGTCCAGTGGTTCTTAAACTGGTTCCTCACAGGTACCCCGGGGGATGGTTTGGCTGGAGGGTGGAAATGGTTGGCCTGGCAGGGCTCCCTGATATAACCAGAGCATCTCTGGTCTTATGGGTACATTTTCATTCGAAGAGAGTGTTCTGCTATTAAAATTATGGGATGGGGGAAGAAGGGCAGAAACCATTGCCCATTTTTTACAGATAAGAAATCGATGTCTGGGGAGGTGAGGAGACAAGCCAGAAGGCAGCAGGCATTCGGCCAAAAAAGCCAGACAACGGAGGACACTAGTTAGGACTCTATAAAATTTGCAGAGAGCACCTAGCCACGTTGCATTCTGGTTTCTGCTTTGCTTCCTAGGAAACTCTGGAGGACATCGACAAGAACGGGGATGGGTTTGTGGATCAAGATGAGTACATTGGTGAGTGCAGCCTGGAGTCTTGCTCAGCTGTCCCATCTGGGCAACATTCTTCCACCCACATGTCTGGCTACTTTCTCCAGACATTGCTTCGAGCAACAGCTACAAATCTGTGGGTGTCACTCCTGTGGCCTCCCAGTGGGGAGGGACTTGTCACACCATCCCTAGTGGTGCAATATCAGGGAGGAATTATTAGACCTTACTCAGTGGAGAAGAGACCAGAAGGCTGGCCCCTACTTCAAGAATGGCCAGAAGTGGGCTCCCTGGCTCTGAGAGGTGCCCGTCAGCACATTGTGTAATTTTATCTCTGGGAAGTGGGACTGGAGATCCCAGGGAGTTACAGTGAGTCTAGAGCAGACAGTCTTAAGAGAAAGATTAAAATCAGACTGGACCCGCGGAGCCTAGAAGGTCTAAGTAGACACAGCTGCGATCAGCAGAACTATTTATGTGCCCAAGCTGACTGCAGAAAAGCATTCCTTCTCATAGGTAAATCCTTTTGCAGAGTGCAGAATTGCCCCATCCTATAGCTGTTTCACTGGGAATACCATACCTAGCATTTGTTCTGAAGGGCTCCACACAAGCACCATTAAGAAGTGCATTTTCACGTAACTGTGAGCACTGGCTGAATGAATCAAATTAATGTACATGGGTCAGAACCCACTGTTGCTGGTTAGAGCCCTTTCCAGCAACTCAGTTGCCCTCCAAACGTAAAAGACTAGAGCAGGCAAAATGGAAACTTCTATTTTATCCTTGTCAGCTGCTACTTCAGTGCTCGGGAACATGGCTGCCTTCTCATGACACCTCCTATTGTCCCAAGTCTCAATAAGGTGAAAGCTGGCAAATCATTTGAGGGATGGGATAAGTAGAATTTTTGCACACATATAGTAGAAGCCGTTAATTGCTTTCAATGTAAAATCAGAGCCCAAGGTGCCATTGGCCTTTGGTCTGTGGTGGTATTACTTTGCCATCCCTTCCCCAAGAACTAGTGCCTTCGGTAGTGAAGAGCGCAATCGCTTCTGATCACTAGGAATTCCCTTTGATCTGAGGAACCTCACGCTGGTCTCTGCCTGTGGTATAACACATAGGTAGCCCTTGCCCCAGCAGCTAAAGTGATCTTGGTGGCATTGACTTTGCAGGATTAACATGCTGACAGCCCCCTCATCAGTGCAAGTGGCAGAGCCTTCCTCTTGCCCGACGCAGGTCCGAGGGAAGGTTCAGAGCCGCAGATACCTTGACAGTGGGATGGAATCAGACCGACAGAAAAGGCTGACTGACTAACAAGGCCGTGCTTTTGATTAAGGGTGTGTGCTCCTTCGAGTCCTCCTGAACTCTGCATTGAAACATTGAGTGGCTTTGCCTGAAAGCAACATTCCAGTCTTTACACTGAGCAGAGAGGGAGATGGGGGCATTTTGCCTGAAAATCAAATTCTGAGCACTTTGCAGTCAGAGAGGCCCTTGCATGGACTTACCCAGCAAGTGGCTTCTCTTCAGGAGGGAATGAGTGGGAACCCAGTGGTGATGTGTGGTGGGAAGAGCACTGGAATTAGGAGTCCTGGCTTCTCCACCTACCAGCCCTGTGACCCCAGGGCAGTCATGCAATCACTGTAAGCCTCAGCTTCCTCATCTGTAAAATGGGAATCAATAGCATTCACGTTTCCAGGACTAGATGGAACTCAAGTTAGCTAATGTGTATGATAGCCCTTTCTCAAAAACTGTGCAGATGTCAGGTATGGGTCTACTCTGTGGCTGAACCAAGGGTCTTGCTCTCTTTTACCTTCATCTACCGCCTGCTCCCTGTACCACTTGATATTTCCAAGCTGTGTTTCTGTTAAAGAGAAACTGCCCACAGGATATCTCTCTCTTCCAAGAAGATCTAGTGATTTGGCAAACAATGCATAAACTTTGTCTCCTTCTTTCCCTGCCATTTTGTAAAACAGGGGCAATGATCTATCATACAGAATTCAATAAGGATGAAATAAAATGCTATATGTGAGAGCCCTTTGGAAATGATATAAACAAATAGAAAGGAACATGGTGGCTGAGACCGTGGGTTGGAAGCAGAGTGCCCATGTTCCTATGCGGCCTGAAGCTCATAGTGGCTGTGGCCTCAGGATTTTCATCTATGAAATAGGAATTATAACAAGACCTACTTAATAGGATTGCTATGGAAAGGAATATGTAAAGTACATTATACAGTATCTGGACCATAGAAAGTGCTTGATGGCAGTTTCTATGACTAGTTTCACTTGTATAGGGCTAGTATGGGTTCCAGAGGGCTTTTGCAGGAAGTGTCCCATTTGACCTTCGTGTTAACCCTGTGATTTGTAAATTATCATCTTCATTTTACAAACAAAGCAACTTAAGACTCAGCCATTGAATTAAGTAACTTAATCCTAGTCACTGTACTGGACTCAAGAGACTAGTTCATCTTTCATCTTCTGGCTCCTAAGCTCAGTCCTTTCTATTCCACCAAGCGACCTTTGTAGTGGATAAATCATTGCCTTATTATTCCCAAGAAACTGCCCACCAGATGTTTGGATTAGGTGTCTAGACTGGTCAGCACCCTTCCATAACCTCGGGGGGCCAGGTGTTCTTTGGCATACCTTCCCACTTGTCTTTGTAACCAAGATCAACCTTCCTTTCTAGCGGATATGTTTTCCCATGAGGAGAACGGCCCTGAGCCAGACTGGGTTTTGTCAGAACGGGAGCAGTTTAATGAATTCCGAGATCTAAACAAGGACGGGAAGTTGGACAAAGATGAAATTCGCCACTGGATCCTCCCTCAAGACTATGACCACGCGCAGGCAGAGGCCAGACATTTGGTGTATGAGTCGGACAAAAACAGGGTATTTCACATTTTTCTGGAATCGATCCTTGAAGGGAGACAGTTTACATAAGATTGGCTCTGTTTGCTTCTTTGTGATAGCACTGGCCTGTGACGCTGTGCCTTATTGACATTTCTTATTCCTGCGCTACCTTAGAGACCTGTAAACTTGACTCAGTACCGTGATACCCCACGGTGAGCTTGTTAGGCAGAGACATTTCTGGATAGTCTGCCCTGGGCCACAGACTTACATTCACTCCCATCAGGATTGCAGAATTTTGTTTGCTGTGGGCAGGGCATGGATTTAAATAGGTACACCCTGCGATGCCTTAGGACAAGTTTCTTCATCCATTCATTCAGTCAGCACATATTTACCCAACATCCATCATGTGTCAGGCACAAGGAGGTCCAGCCCATTAAAACCAGGCATCCTCAGGCAAGCTCCCACTTCAAGCTCTATGCCCAGCACTTCAATATCTATGGATACACATCCAAATAAATATGTAAGCAAGACTTAGAAAGAAGCCCGGCCTTTTTCCACTTACATCACTGCTCCAGGCTCTGGGGAGACAGTTGAGTTCTGCGGTCAGGTCATGAAAGGGAGGTGGAGTTCCTCGGGGACCATTTTGGGAATGCTATTACTGCCTGTAGACATAGCTGGATTCTAACTTCTCACTTTCTCGGGGACTTGACCTGGTATATTTTAACACAGCTTTTACAGTAGGAGGCGGTTCTAGTTTGGGCTGTTGCAGTGCAGTAACAGTAGATGGAAGAGGCACCTAGCAGCTTCTTAATTATTAAGTGGGAGGTTTCAGATGCTGCAAATCAGTGAAATAACGTAGTTACTAGAGCTTCAATGACACAGCTCTTTCCTCTCTCCTACAGGATGAGAAGCTAACTAAAGAGGAGATACTGGAGAACTGGAACATGTTTGTTGGAAGCCAAGCTACCAATTATGGAGAAGACCTCACAAAGAATCATGATGAACTTTGATACAGACTCACCATGTAGAGCAGGCTGTCATAAGCTTTCTTTTATTGTCTTGCATGGTTGCTACAGTTTAATTTATAGCAGTTGTGTCCCTGAAACAGCAAATTTATAACTTCAGATTGGGGTTAAAGTTGGTTTTCACTCAGTATTTACTGGAAAATAATCATTGCTATTCCTTCATTAAGATTGCTCTATGAGCATATTAAAATCTCAGTAAATCACAATGTTCTGTGGGAATACATTGCTAAAACATGACTTTAGCTTTTTCCATTGAATTTAAAGGGGGATAAAATTAGAAAAAGCCCAGTTATTCAGAAGTTGGGTGGGTTGGGGGGACAATGTATGGAGTGACTGCTGTGTATTTTAACTGCAGATTTTTATATTTGCCACTATTGAATGGCTGGCGAGGGAAAATTCTGATGAAGCTACAGTGGTATTGTCCTATGTAGGCTTATTTCAGAACAAGTCTAATACTTCAGACTCTTCCTTCTTGACTTTGTACTCTGATCTGTTACTGTAAACGGTATATAAAACTTACGTGCATTTTTCTGTATGGACCTGGTAATGTGCACAACAAATCCAGATCTTTGTTTTTTGTTTTTGTTTTTACAATAAGAAACAATGGAGAAAGATAATGTGAAAAAGAAAGGAATTTTAGAGGTAGGGAAAGATGAATGTCAGGCATTGGAAGAACTATAGGAAAATGACAAACACATTGTTATACTTGAGAAACTTTTCTTGATATATACACGAGGTAGGTCTGATCTTTGAAAAAGTGAATAGAAATACAACTTACTTCCTCATCATCGATAGGAATGGGGGGTGGGATCCCACGGAAGCCTGCCTGATGGGGCGCTGGGTGGGCCCTCACTTAGACCTGCCTGTGGACCACTTACTCCATCGAGTTAGGGTGAGGTGGTGTTCCAAGCCACTGGCTGAACTAGAGGAAACAGCTGTTTCAGGTTGAAATGCTACCTTATAAGTAGAAAGTGAGTGAAATAAAGGATCCCCCCGAGGATTTTCTACTGTGTCCTGTGGTGTTTGACTTCATCTGTGCTGTGATGTTATTGTTCATACAGAATTAAATAGTAGGATGGGATTACATGAGTAAGACTATTAAGGGCCTGGGTTTTTAAAATCCAAGTTCTAGAATGTTCAGAATATCCTATTACTTAATAACTATATACTTCTTTCTCTGTGCTAGTTACGGAATCTAGGTCATTTTAACTAAGATCTTTCTGGGATCGGTTTCATCTGGAAGAATGTGCAGAGCCCTGTGAGGCTCTATAGGAGCTGGTCCCTTCCTGCCTACTCAGCATCACCATACCGCTCCCATTTGCCTCCCCCAGCCAGCCCCACTGACTCTGGTCCTTGAACATACCAAGTTCCTTCCTAGGTTGGACCCTTTGCACTTGCTGTCCCCTCAGATTTATAACACTATTTCCCACATCCTCCAGTAACTCAAGTGATACCTCCTCAATGGAGCCTCCCAGATCCACCGTTTATAGTACACTCATTTGCCACTTTACAACAGGATATATTCTGAGAAATGTGTTGTTAGGCAATTTTGTTGTGTGAACATAGCATGCATTCACACACATCCAGATGGTCAAGCCAAGTACATTCCTAGACTAACTGGGATATCATTGTCCTGTATGGCGTCTATTGTTGACTGAGTGATGGTTATGCAGTGCGTGGCTGTAGTGTGCACTTGAATCCCTATCTCATTTCTCTTGATATGTATTACGTATCCCTAGAACTGCTGTTCAAATTACCACAAAGTGAAGAGCTAACAACAAATGTAGCTTACTCTCCACTCTGGAAGCCAGAGTCTGAAATCAAGGATGCTCTAGAGGAGAATCCCCTCTTTGCTGCTTCCAGCTTCTGACCGCTCCAGGCATTCCTTGTCTGTGTCTGCAACATTCCAATCTCTGCCACCATCTTATGGCCCTTTCTTCCTCTCTCTCTGTGTCTCTGTGTATCTCTTATCAGGATACTTGTCATTAGATTTAAAGTTTCCATCCCAAGATCCTTAGTTACAGCTGCAAAGACCATTTTTTTCCAGGTAGGTTCAAATTCACAAGTTTAGGGGCAGGCATGTCTTCTGGGGGACCACCATTCAACTAACTACCACTTAACATCATCTTGTTTGTACATTGTCCATCTCCCCCAAGCTGGAATATAAGCTCTGTGAGACCAACAGTTGGGTCCATCTTACTTACTGCTTTTTCCCAGAATCTAGAAGATAGAGCCTGGCCTACAATAAGTACTCTAATTATTTGCTGAAGAATGAGAGCTTGTTAGCTTTAATCAAAGAGAATATTCCCCAGGGAAAAAATTCTGGAAAAAAAAAACAAAACGGTGAACATTTCCTGAATAAGAAGGTAAGTAATTTTGCCCAGGATTCCACAGTGATTAAATGGCCGGGACAAAATTCAAATCCAGATGTTCCTGGCACCAAAATCTCCGCTGTTTAACACTAAGTTTTACTGCTCCAAATGTCCAAATCTGGTATATGTTTTCTTTATTTCTCAGCTCACCCACAGTACGTGATGATGTGGTCAGAAAATGAGAACAGTTCTTCTTACCTAGACATAGGCTGATAACTCTTCTTTTTTGAAGCAATGAAAACCTGTCTTTTAATAAATGAGAAAAATAATACTGTGTAACCTAATTATAAATATAACACTTTTAAAATGTGTTAATATTATTTTTCCCCCAAAAGGGAATATTGGTTGATTTATTAAGTTATACACAGTGAGATGTTAAATATATTTTGAGCACTTAGTTTTACCTTTCAAGTCAGTGCACATAAGAAGAGAACCCTCCAAGAGACTAGTGCTTCTGGGGCTGAATTTAACGCTATTAAAGGAAAGAAAACCTTAGCTAGGGGACATAGCTGTTAACATCGTGATTTGTAAAGCCTTAGATTTCTAATAGGGTCTGACTGTTTGAAGGAAAACACATTTTGTTTCTAGGTAACATTTCAAGTCTGATTATGAACAAATGCTACAAAATCGATCTGTAATGAGAAATACTGTAATGTCACAAAGCATTATTTATACGCTTAATATAACTGAAAGCACTAATTGCTAGGAGCCAAAATCAGTCCAAGCAAAACATGAACATACATTTTGTACCCCTTGTCTCTTAGTAGGTTCTCGAATGAATTCGAGTGTAACAAAAATGTAGTTAGAAAGTCAGCAACACCTGAAGTTTTTTCACCTGCTTGGATTACTGTAATTGTTTCCTGTTGGCAACAGCACAAATCATGTCTGCTCAGAAGTGCCCAGCAAACAACAGCTACATGGCTACCTGTTAGCTCGGCCCTAAAACACTGTGGAGTGTAAGAGGGAATGGCAGGCTGGATTTCTTAAAAAGTCTTTCTAGATTTAGTCTGCCACCTTTATAATAAAATCTGCTTCCTCCAAGTACGTGCACCTAGATTTGGTCCTCTCCGCAGTGTTAAAACTGAGTTTATGGTGCTAGAATTTCCCACTGAAAACCAGTGAGTGCCATAATGTTCGCTGCTTTGGCTCACACTGAAGTATTAAAAAATTGAGCAGTGGAAAGACCATCATCTGTACCCAAAGTCACCAGATTTACATGAACTTGGAGATCTATTCACAGAACCTATCAGGGCAGCTCTGGGGTCCAGGGCTGGAGACACCCACCTTTCTATGAGCTCCTAGCAGCTGTAATTTTCCTCATAAAGGAGAAAAGTGCGTTTGATTCCCCACAGAAGCACATGAAATGAAATGAATGTCAGGACTGGTTACTTCACTACCTTGAAATGTGTGCAGTGGGAGCACACAAGATTTCTTTTCTCCTGTGATAAACACAAATAGCTGTGTACCAGGCCCTATGCCAAGTACTTACATACATTTTCCATGCAACCTTCGGAACAACCCTATGAAGTTGGTACTCCTAAGAAAGAGGGTAAGCTGGCTTATGCTGGGGTAACAAACAACTCCGCCATCTCAGTGGTTTAAAGCAACAGAGGTTTAATTTTTGCTTTTGTGAAGTCTGCTGTGGTTCTGGGCAATTGCCCGTGGCAGCTGCGGTGTGGGGGCTCAGCTGTGTGTCTCCACAGCCACCCATGTCCACTGGAGAATTAAGCAGAGACAAGCACATATAGTCGCTCCTGAAAGTGACTCTTCTCTCCCATGCTCGCTTCCATTGGTCAAAGCAAGTCACGTGGCAACATCTAACCTGTAGGGAGCAGGAAATACAATCCTACTGCTGCTTGGAGAGGTAGGTTGAAAACCTTGGTGAAGAGTACTCCTGGTAAACAGTGATAACCAGATTATTTTTCCCATTTTACAGGTGAGAGAACTCTAAAGATGATAATGTCCAAAGTTACCCAACTCGTAACTTAGGTGACTATATAATTGATTGTCCAGAGCACAGTACCTTTGCCAGAGATGGGGGGGCAGTCTTAATCAGTGTCTCCCCAAATCCTGGGCAATCTGCCCGCCCACTTTTAGGGTTTAGAGACCCTCTCTGCTCCTCTTTCAGCTGGAATCTTCCTCATGGGTTGAGGAGTTCATGGGCCAAAGGGTTTTGCTCACTCAGAGCCAGAACTTTTGCTTTTAGATCATGCTCCAAGTTTCTGTAGCACCCAGAATCCCCTGCCAAAATAAGTCCAAGCCTCTTCCAGAGACTGTGTGTGCAGCCCCTGGGTGGATTTTCCAGAGGGCAGACAGAGCCACAGACGTGCGCACACCTAGGCGAGCCCAAGGGACAGCAGGCGGACTCAGTTTGAACACGCAGGTTGGGGTGTCCGCACACAAGCGTGGAGCCCCTTGGTAGGAAGAAAATGGTGGAATGACCCACAGACCGCCGTTTTCCATTTTTACTCTTATCCCAGCACCCTCAGAATTAGCGGTGAGCCTGCCACGATGCTGGGACAAGCAGCACTGTCCTGGGCAAACTGGACTATGTGGTTCCCCTACTTAGAAATGGCAGATCCAGGATACAAGTCCAGGAGGACTCCGCCCTCTTAATCACCCCTCTATGTTGCCTCCAGTTTAAGGGCCTCTTGGTGAAACTGCCCCTAGTGTTCCTACACCTTTAAACATCCGTGACAACATACGTTGTATTTGAAAACTCAGGACCGCTGGGATGAGGTGTAGAGTTGGTGGCATGGAAAGACAGGTCCAATTGCCTGGCTGGATGCAAGTTCTAGCTCCTGCCTCACTGGAGTTCTATGACCTTGGCAGGTCACCTTCCTGCAGAAGAGCCTGTTCTCACTGTACAATGGGGAGGAGAATAATAATAATAATAATAATATCACCCAATTCTCAGAGTAGCTACAAAGATGAGGTGTGATCACACAAGTGCAAGAACTGCCAAGGACCGAAGATGAGGCATAAGTTAAAGAAGTTCTCCCTGGTGACCTTCTGGAGCAGTTCAAATGCCAGAGGTCAGACAAATCAATGCTTACAAACACTAGCCCACCGGTTAATAGTCTTTGTGAGTTTCCAAATTATTGCGTGAAGTGTTTTTAAAACCTTAAATTGATCTATTAGTAGGTGAAGTTGAATAGATTAAATGACGAAGGAATAGCATTTATCTGTTTTGTTTTGTTTTGTTTTTATCTTGATGACTGTATTCTAAAGCTATTCATATATGGCAGAGATTTGGAACTAAATTCAGGAAAAGCAGATCAAGAGTCTCTAGGTATTCAAAAAAGATTCAGGAATCCAACTGAAACAGATCATTCAGGGTCCTGTCTCCAGAGGAGGAAACTGAGGCCCGGAGAGATTAATTAGACCTGCAGTTTTCCCTGTCACCAGATCAAGGCAGAGGTGACTGTCTCTCCTCCCCCAACCCGTTATTCTCTTTAAAGCCTCAATGTTCTCATCTGAAAAATGACGATGTAAGAATTGTATAATTATATAAAGTAACGATCATAAGCACTTGGCATAGTTAGCGCTCAATAAATAGTAACCCTTTTTATTATTACACCAAAGTAGGGGCCTTATGTGTTTCAGCATCAAAGAGTATGTTTTTTTGCCCTTACTTTCAAACTTCAATGCATGGCATTAGTGACTGATGGAGAGTTTAGATTTATCAGAAAATTGTCAAAGATATATTTGTTGTTTTAAATACATAAAAGAAAGGTGTTTTGTTTTTGTTTTTTTTAAGTTCATATCTTTAAAAAAAGAGTGGATGTGGTTCTTAACTGTAAGAAGCTGAGGACTTTTAATGAGTCTTATCAGATTAGTAATCACAAACCACAGGAAGTATGCAGCCTTGCTGCTCAGATGTTGGAGATTAAGATGAATGTAGAGACCACGCCTAGATGGGCTTCAGAGTCCAAGGGACTCCCTAGCTGAATGTCTTTAGGCCAATCACTTCCACTCTGCAAACCTCTTTTTCCTCTTCTGTAAAAGGAGGTAAGAGCAACACCTTCCTCACTGGGTGGTTGCGAGGGCTCAGGGAGGCCCCTCGTTTTGTAAAAATACTTTACTCTAGACCTGAAACAAGGAGAAGCTTCATTAGTGGAGCTAGGTGACTCTGTTATGAAAACTATTAAGACATTGACAGTGATTTTAAGGGTAAAAATACATGCTAAGGAATGAAAAGAAATAATTGAGCTATAATCTAAACTTTATTCTCTGACAGGCACAATTCCACGGACAGACAATTCACGCGGACGCTGGTCTCATCAGCCTGAGCAGGCACCTCCTGAAGTCTTCCGGAAGGCCCATTGGCTTGCTGGTGGCCGGATTCAAAAAAACGAGGACTGAGGACCCAGTGGTACAGGCCAAAGTGTCAAACTGTGCCAAGCTGGGGTGGCCAAAGAAAAAGCCGTCACCGAGGTCACGGTGGTCCACTGTCAGTGGTTCCTGGGTGGGCTTAGGTGGAAACAGAGCAAGGCGATAATGCACGCTGGAATGGCCCACTTTTTCCATGGCTAGAGCAGCCACTGCGACCTGAGGGAAGCCCCCAGGTCTGTGGAAGGTGCACGGATTGGTCACCATGAACCCCACCATGGAGGACGTCAGCAAGCTGGTCTTCAGGCCACAGTACCTGGAAGGTTAAAACACAATGCTTATTCCAGGGCAATAAGACATTCTCTCTCAGCCCAATGACGGTGGTTTTGGCAGCTCTAAGTTCAAAGGGCCTGGAATCTAACCCCAGCTCTGTCACTGAGTTACCTTGGGCAAGTTATTTAACTTCTTTTTGCCTCAATTTTCATAAGAATATAGTATTCCTAACTGTAATACTACCTCATAGACTGACTGTGAGAATTAAACGATGAATATAATGTGATATGTCATTTAATATATGAACAGTTCCTAGACATAGTTAGTTCTCATAAACATTGGCTATTATTAATAGAATTATGTCCATCTTGTTCTTGCTTCTTATCTTTAAAAGCCAGGTACTTTTGTGTTAAATGAGAGGAAAAAAAAAAACCCTCATTTGTTAGAGATAGTTATTGTCTCTTATCTCTGCTACTAGATTGTAATCTCTTTAAGGACAGGTACTGTGTCTTGTTTATTTTTAAGTTTGTTTACTAAAATTGAAGTTGCACTGAGATAAATTTGGAGGTTGAACAGAATCAAAATTGAAAAAGTAAATGGCAAGTGGCTGCCCCTCCCCTCCTCCTCGCCAGAGGTCCCCTTGCAGTCTAAACATTTTAGTTGCAACAATCATGGGCTGTGTAAAGGCTCAACTAGACTTGTTCACTGAATCATTGTTCACAGAGGGGAAACGGAAACAAGGTTCAAGTCTCTGCCCAGGGAGGCACCATGAGTGCCTCTGGCCTGCTACCCTCGGTGTCCGCTGAGATCACCCGTCACGACATTAGATACACTCATTTACTGACATGGAAAGCTGTTGAGTGAAAAAGATCAGGTTGCAGAACAGAATGTGCCATTCGATCTCATTGGTTTTACAAGAACATGTTTGTTTATGTACCTATTGCTCAGAAAAACAATTGAAAGGATAGATTCCAAAATGGTTGCAGTAATTATCTAGCAGTGGAATTTGGGAAAGGTTTTTTCTTCATGTGTTCATATGAATTTTCTAAAGTGAACTTGATTTGCCTCTGAAATAAGAAAAAATGTTATTCTTCAAATATCCGAATATGAGCTTCATTTTTTAAAAAAGCACTGGGGGGACGAGCAGGCAGGAGGCACCAGGGCCTTCTTGCGCTCATTAGGGACCTGCCTCAGGCTGCCCTCCCCGGAGAGGGGAGAGGGAAACAGGCAGAAAAGCCTTGCCCTCGTGGGGAACTCCAAGGTCCAGGGTGAACTAAATTCCCTCTCCTCGCACCGCCCATTTTCATTTCTCCTGCTTCTTTGTTGCTTTGCTTTCCTATTTCTCTGCCACCACTTTCCTCATTCTTTTAGGGCACCAACAAAAAGAAAGGGCACCTCTTCCCACCGAGAGAGCAGAATTCCATGAGCTCCGTGTGCCCCTGAGCCCAGCCGGAGTACTTATAAATAATGAAAAAGCAGAGATACTTTTAAACAATGCCATCGATGAGCACCTGGCAGCCAGGGCTATGGTGGGTGCATTACATTTTGTATTCAGTTTTCAAAACAATCCTGCAAAGCAGGTGTCATCTTCCCCATTTTCCAGAAGAGGAAATAAGTGGGAGGCAAAGATGTGTGAGCAGTAAGTGGTAGGCCCGGCCCGGCTTCAGGTTCTCTATGGCTGAATTTTACACCTGGCCCTCCATTCTGGCTTATATGATGATGAAGCCCAAATCCACATTTTAGCCCAGTGGATGAATTGCGTTTTCTTTAAGTGTTTTTGTGTATTTTGTCACAAATGTAAAGAATTACATTTTCTTTAAATGCTACATGACAGCTTATTCACGTTTGGTCAGTAGGGACTTCCTGGTTGCAAGGTCAAAACCAAATCTGCTGTGGTTGGTGGTTACAACAGGGTACTCAGTGAGAATTATTGTAATTGTTTCATCTTTAAGGGAGTTGTAATTTTTATCAGTATTTATATATGTGTACACACTGGAAAAAGTCGAGTAGTTGCTCAAATCTTATTACAAAAACAGTAATTCTCTGGCTGGTTATACCATTGGTCAAAAGTCCTTAGAAAATTCGTTCATTCAACAACCTCCACTGCACACCTGCTCATTGTACGTTGCTGAGGCTACAATACCGAGAGAGAGAACTACTGCCCGCAGGAGTTCTCAGTTTTAGAGGCGCGGAGGGTGGGATATGTCCGCCCTTGCCCTCATGGGGGAACTCAAGAGTTGAACATTTGTTTAGCTTTAAGTTGTAGTTAATAAGCTTAGTAATTAATGCATGAAAGAAATAGTGTTCCAAGAACAGGGATGACCAGGGACCCACTGTGACTCCAGCAGACTCTCAAGCAATTCGACTCAACCTTTGTGCCCACAGAGGACTGCACAGATCGAGATGGTATCTGAGCCACTGTGCTCCAGGGAGAGAGGTCTGCAGTCCAGGACACGGGTAAAGAATCCCTGGTCAGCAGATGAAAGGATGCCAGGAAACAGATGAAAGGGTGTGAGGAAAATTACAGGCCTGCAGCTTTTATCTGATTAATCTTTTCCCCGAATTCCAAACCTCTTACCTACTTCTTCCATGAATTCTAAACCCCTTACCTATACTCTTCTCCTTATAAAAAGGGGTCGATTTGAGAAGAGGTGTAAGATGGCCTTTTAAGGTACATAATTCATCATTTTCTCAGATTGCGGACCATGTGAATGAAGTGCCCACAAAGATTCAATGCTCGTTTCTACTTACTGGTTCTGGTGGCGGCAGGCAGCACGAATGCGGACTCCTCCGGTTTCATTCCCTTTGGCAAGAAGGTGCTAGTTATTTTGCTTTCTGGTTCCCCTTCCCCTCATTGCTTTTTCTATTTCTTTCCTCAACACTCACTTATTGTGCCCCTCCTATGTTACAAGCCTGTGCTAGGTGTGGAAGAAAGAGCAATGAGCAAGCCAGCCAGTACAGTTCCTGCCCTCTCATGTAGCCTGCGTCTACGGGGGTGCCATCCCGATGTGGTATGGTGAATGCTACGCCAGGGAAAGCACAGGGCCCTGCAAGCTCATAGGAGGAGGCCTGACTTGATCTAGGGTATCTGGGAAGAGCTGAAGAAGTGAGAGCTGAACTGAGACCTGAAGACAATGTAGGAACTACCCAAGTGAACAGCACGGGGAAGAGTCTTCCAGGGGGAGGTACAGCATTCGTGATGGCTCAGAGGCCAGAGACACTAGTAGGGCACACCCTAGAGATAACAAGCCCCGGAAGGCTGGAACGTTGCCGGCCAGAGAAGGCGACCATGGAAGCAGAAGCCAGACTAGGGGGAGTCTTGTTAAGGAATTTGCATTCTTTCCTGAGGCAATGGGGAGGCAACTAAATGGATGGTATGCAGAGGAGAGAAAAGATGAAGTTTTTCAGTAAAGGAGCGTTGTGCGTCAGAACTGAACGATGAGTTAGATAGAAATGATACTGTCTGCTGCGGAACACTTCGCCAACGCGGAGTCCTGGCAGAGAAGACTTGGACTAGGGTGGTGACAGCAGAGACAGAGAAAACTGGCTGGAATCAGGAGATTTTTGCACAGGCTTTGACGATCATTCAGAATGAAGGAGACAGAAGAGCCCAGATGTCTCCCAGTCTAGAGTAACTTATTGATTTCGTTTGTGGAGAGAGGGAACATGGAAGGGAGGCTTATGGAGAAAGTGAGGAAAGTGATGAGCTGGCTCCATTTTGAAGAGCTTGAGGTGGGCTGCCTGTGAGATCCTAAGAAGAGGCGCACTGTGGGGATAAGAATACATGTCACTAACTGACACGTAGTCCTGCGCTACAGGCCAGGCCTTCCATTAAGCACACAAACTGGACTGCCTTGCCAGAAGGCATTTGGATACGTGGCCTGATAAGCAGAAAGAGGTTTGAGCTGGAGACAGGAGTTGAGAGACCAACTTTGATCTGTAATCAGTGTCTAGGCTGGTAAAGGTTGGAAGCAGCTGGCGTAATACACACAGGTATGGGGGGGTCTGTGGTCAGTGGGAAGCAAATGCTCAGTCTGACCCCAGACAGATTCAGACTTATGAAAAATACTGGGCAGACTAAGTAAACTTCATGTGTGGTTTGCCTAGATTTGTCTTTCTGGCCTCTCGTTTATGACTTCTGGGAAAGATAGTAATTAAACTGTGGGAGAGGGAGAGATCACCTAGAAAGAATATGGGAGAGGGGAAGCTTGAGCCCAGGTTTACAGCCTTATGAATGAAAAAGTGCCTTCGAACAAGTTCTCAATTAATGATTTCTTAGAATGCAACAGGTGACTGATAAAGCATGTCATTCTGATGCCACCTCATCATCACACGTGCTGAATGCCTACCTTCCATGCTTTCTTATTCTTGATTTAGTCAACTTGAGAATAGAGGCATGTTGGAGTGGGAAGACCCTTTGGGGATCGGGCAGTACGGGGGCTCTCCAACACCAGTGAGGCTCGGAATCTCCCGGGAACCTGGGAAACCCCCAGGCCCCCCGTATCCTCCCAGGCCACCTGAATCAATCTGCAAGGCAGCGCACAATCATCCTCAATTTCACAAGCTCCCAAGTGATGCTGAGGCACATACCTACCATAAGAGTTGCTCTTCTAGCCCTGTCCCTTCAGATAAGGAAAAGCCCAGAGAGATGAAGTAAGCTAGAAAGGGACAGAGTCTATACTCTAGCTCCTTCGTCTGGGTCCATTAACCTCCCCACCCCCAGATTCACCTCCTGCCCAGACTTGGAGACCCATAAACCTCCGAGGCATCCATGGCTCAGATTCAGATCAGATGCTTACGATCCTACCCAGATTCTGCAGCCAACTCCAACACCTGGGTTCAGTCTTACCCTATTACTCCCCTCTCTCACGCTCCCGCCTTTCTCCTTGCACTCATAACTAGGTTCTGCCTTGACCCCGCCCTGAGCCCTTACCTTGGTGCCTCCCCAGGCCCTGGGTGCCCCTGGAGCAGGAGGCAGTGTGCACATGAAGGACATGGTGCCTTTGGGTCTGTACGAGGACCCAGCCTTGCTGCCTCCTGAGG